TAGCAATACGTAACTGAACGAAGTACAATTTCCTAATATTTACTGTGTATTTATCATTCAGATTTTTTTATGCTAGTAAACGTAATTTTAATTTCTGAGCAGAGCTATAAATATTGAATTTATTGAATTTATATTGATGTATTTTTTTTTCTGTCATCACTCCATTACCTTTTGAAACAGTAAAAATGCTTCGATTTAAAATTTTGAGAGTGATTTATTTTATTAAATTAGATCTAGTTGGTAATTTGGTGGAACAAAATAAAAAAAATATTCAGTACTTTTCTTAATAATTGGAAAAATTTAAATAATTGAGAAAAAATAAAAATGTTTACTCTGAACAAGTTTTCGAAAATCGATTTCTTTATTTTTTAAATAAACAATTAACGATTAATGAAGGAATTTGAAACTATTTTGACTATTTTTTAGTCAATTGAAATTTTTGATATTTTTCAGTTGTAGCAGTAGTACTGTAGTACTAGTAGCTTTATTTTTTATTTGAAAAACAATTTAAATATTTATTTTTATAAGTAAAAGTAGTGATGGTATTACAATAGAAAATATAAATAAAAAAAAAAAAAAAAAACACGACGAGGGAGGTTTTTCAATGATGAAACTTGTATTAATGTTGTTTTTACACTTAAAAAAAAGATTAAAAATTCATATTTTTTGTATAATATGTTTGTTCTGCTGTAAAATATTATACATAATACTTTTATAATTTTATGATGTTATAGTGATATACTTCTATTATGTTATTTAGAGTATCTCGGCCCTTATTAGTTGGCGGGTTATTAGCGTATTTCAGCCCCGATGAATCTAACTCTACTGACTTGACATATGCATATATTTATGCATTTGGAATAGTAATTACATCGTTAATCACAATGATATTGCAACATTCAGGTTTTGAAAAAAACTTCCTGTATGCGGTGAAGATACGAGTTGCTTGCCGTTCTATAATATTTAGAAAGGTAAACCTCTATAAAATAATAAAATATTTTACCTAAATTATTTACTTAGCACGCTTTGTCTATCATAAGTATAATATTACGAGATAATAATTAAAACAACATTTATTCTTCAGTGGCTTGATATTTTAGAATTCATTTAATAACAAATAAAAATACGCATAATAACATGTATGTCTAAATAAAGTCATATAAATAAAATATTATTATCGTTCTGAAATAAACTCCGTTAAGCCAAACTATTAGGCATTTAATCGAAAACAAATTAATTTATTATTAATAGCCAATAGACGTTGCGAATCAAATTAACGTGAGTCTACACATGGAGCAAATAATTTTTTTTCTTGTAAGTAATCGTTACATTTTCTATCGATTGATTGTTATACAAAAACAATAGCGTTAATATATAATTTTATATCAATTTTTAAAATTCGAAAGTAGACATCACGCCCGAGACAAGTGATTTGTTTTTCATGAGTAAAATATCGTAACGCACTAGATGGGTGACCCGTCTTATAAACGTAACTTGTAGACAGGCGCGTACACATAAAAATATTTTTTTTTGGGGTGTAGGGGGGTTTGATTGTAGATTTTCGCACATGATATATATATAATTCATATTATGATAGCAATGCGGACAATTAAATAAAACTAAACTAATAAATAATAAAACTATTATTTCCTGAAAATTCGGGGAGTGGGGGTTGAACCTCTAGAACCCCCCTTTGTTTACGCGCCTGCTTGTAGATAAAGATGTTACATCTCGAAAGTAGTCACTAGTAAATTATAGATACATACGTTTTGAATAGGTGATTAAAATATTGATCAACTAGGTAAACAGTTTGTTCAGTTTCAAAAATAATTTATAACGATAATAGTTTTAGACTGTATAGTGTGATGATAAATTTTTTTTTTACTTGTCGATATATATTTATTATTGTCTAAATAGTTTTTGTGGGTAATAAGTACCTAATAACTAATAAATAACAGAATACGTATATTTAGTAATATTTTATGATAAACTAATAATTATTCAGTTAAATGTATATCAACATTTTTATTTAATATTTACATTTTAGCAAAACTAAGAAATTTCATGATTATATCGTTATGAATTATGATTAGTTTTCAAGCATGTGTTTGTAACTTGTTAGAGTACAGTAAAGCAAATTACAGTAAAACTCGCTTAAGACGCTCTCGCTTAAGACGCTTTCCCGCATAAGACGCTGTTTTTAGTCGGTCCCTAGACATTTCCTATACTAGTCAATGTAAAAATCACCTGTTAAGACGCTCAGTTTTTCTCTGTCTAATCGGGTAAAACGCTCTTTTTTTCAGCAGATTACGATAAATTTTAGTAGTTTTGTGAAAATAAAAATAGAATTTTTAGTACTATACGTGTTCTTATCGTTTTATTTTATCGCTATACCTATTTTATCATTACTTATTATAACAGTTTTACTGTATTTCATCGTCTACTCCTACAATAACTACTGGTTTGCAACATTTATCGGAAATTCGGAAAGTATTATCCTGTGTTGAAAATTCCGAAGAAATGTTAGGTTGTCTTAATAAAATTGAAAACTTTCTTGCTGAAACACATTGTCAGAACCTTAAACAATCAAAAATAGATCATTTTTTTAATAAACAATAATAAAATATGTATGTAATAATAATATTTTTTTAAATTAAATTCAGTAGCACAAAAATATAAGTATGTATGTATATTGTAATTATAATTAATTTATAAGTGTATTTCTCATTAAATTATGTTTAATAATAAAAAATAAGCTCGATATTTCAACCACATCATTTTGTTTCATTCCCGCATAAGACGCTTTCCCGCATAAGACGTTTTAGAGAGCTGGTCCCTTAAAGAGCGTCTTAAGCGAGTTTTACTGTATATAAATATAGACAAAAGGTTTTCCTTTTATTGAACAGTTTAATAAATAATAATAACTAATAAGTAACACTTACCAAGAAAAATTAAATATAATTGTTTTTATGCCTAATTAAAAATTTCAACTGAAAAACATTTTATAACTATCATAATAATATTATGATATATTATTACCATATTTTTACATAATATTAGATAATGTACTTTTCATATTCATATTAAATCCATTTTTTTTTTAAATAAACGATAAACGTAGGTACATAGCTGCACTTTTAGAAATAACTTAATTTAAATATTTTTTTTATCTACCATATGATATTTATAATTATTTCATTCAGGCATTGTGTTTAAGTCAAAAATCTTTAAGTGATACTTCCAGCGGGGAAATAATTAATTTAATAACGAATGATGCTAGTCGATTCGACCTATCAGCGACAACAATACATTATATATGGATTGGTCCCTTGATAACAATTGTGGTCACATATTTTTTATGGCAGGAAATTGGAGTATCGTCATTGATTGGAGTATCTGTGCTTTTATTTTGTATTCCATTACAACGTACGTTAAAAAAAAACTTGTAAAAATAATCACATAAAATTTATTAATAAACTACTTATTTTATTTTTTAGAATGGTTGGGGAAAAAAATGTCTGAATATAGTTTAAAGACGGTTAAAATTACCGATAAAAGAATATGTTTAATTAACGAAATAATTTCAGGAATACACATAATCAAAATGTATACCTGGGAAAAATCTTTTACAAAACTCATAGAAAACACCAGAAAGTTTGTGATATTATTTAAAATACCAATGATTATTTCATCGTTTGCTATAATTATGCATATATTTATTATTGTATTTATTGATGTTGTTATAGAAAAGAAATTAAACAAATTCGAAGTACTTTAATTCTAGGATTTCTTAATTATTCGTTTCAAGTAGTTCAAAGTAAGTTTCTACTGTTAACAAGTATTGTATCGTTCATGTTACTTGGAAACAATATCTCAATCAGAAAAGTAAAGTATAATTAATTGTTTCTTAAATCCTAATATTTAAATGGTTTTGACTCAATAAATAGATTAATAAAATAAAGGTTCATACATTTAGGTTTTTGTAGTAATTGCATTATTCTCTATATTAGTACAACCAATGACAAGGTATTTCAGTCGAGGTTTAATACAATTAGCCGAACTGAAAATGTCTTTGAAACGCTTGCAGGTATGTATAAAAAAATAATATGAATTCTTATAAAATTAGAAATAGTATTTTATTAATAATTTTATGAAATCTATGAATAGAATTTTATGTTGCTCGAAGAAAAAGATAGCGAAATCCCAAATATTTTGAAATCTGCCAAACCATTAAAAATTGAAGCTATAGAATCGGATAATATTACAGATAATATTGATGTTAAAAAAAACACAAAATCTTTAAATGGTGTTAGTATTGTTATTTCGAACGCTACTGCAAAGTGGACAGACAATCAAACCAGTAACACTTTAGAAAACATTAATCTAAATATAATACCAGGAAGTTTAGTGGCAATTATCGGTCCCGTAGGAGCCGGAAAAGTATAGAAAGTCTATGTAAATAATTATTTGTACAAATCTTAATTATATAATAAACGATTACAGAGCTCATTAATACAAGCAATTTTACGTGAATTGCCTTTGTCCGAAGGCAAAATATCCGTGCGTGGTATAGTGTCTTATGCATCACAAGAACCATGGCTATTTGCCGGCTCTGTTCAACAGAATATACTTTTTGGTTTACCGATGGATAAAGAACGTTACAAACAAGTAAAAATTACAAATCATATAAAAGTGTCCACAATCATATATCTATCAAGTTGGTTATAAATTAGGTTATAAGCGTATGTGAATTGAAAACTGATTTCAAACAATTTCCACATGGCGATAGAACTTTGGTGGGTGAAAGAGGAATTACTCTAAGTGGTGGTCAAAGAGCGAGAATAAATTTAGCTAGGTGAGTAACATTCTAAAAACAAATTGTAAATGATACCTTTAATGTGTTTGATTTTATAGAGCAATTTACAAACAGGCTGATATATATTTACTGGACGATCCTTTGTCAGCAGTTGATACTAGAGTTGGCAGACATTTGTTTGAGAAATGCATCAAAGGTACAAAGTACTATTTATTTTTTATTTTTTTTTTTTTTAATTAATATTTACAATAATTTTATTTCTGTTTAATAGATTATCTAAAAGAAAAAACATGCGTTCTTATTACTCATCAAGTACAATATTTAACTGAAGTCGGTCAAATTATTTTAATGGACAATGTTAGTATAAATGGGAGGTGCGCGATTTTATTGGAAAATCTTGAATTATAAATCAATCGTGTCGGTGAATATTTATAGATTAAAATATTTTAATGGATGCGAATTTACAATTAACCACATTACAAAACAAGCGATTCCTAATATACAATAAAATATGATATATTATGGCTACCGTTTAGTACTGCATCTAAATATTTCTGATGTCCGTGAAGTAATAGTTGCCTTTCCCCCGAACTTTTCTGATAAATTTGAAAAATATGTCAATATTTTGAAAATGAATTGCAAATAGATTTTTGGAACTTACAATAAATAAAATACTATAAAATACAGTGTTTAATCAAACAGTATTTATCAATGCGTTAAAAGTTATTTTTGATAAATTGTTCAAGTCGTAAAAATCTATCGTGCATAGTTTTTTATGAGTACCTATATCGTGGCACAACAGCCTACGGTAGTAGGATTTTATTCCATATAATGTTGTATATTTTCATGTTATAAAGTTATATCAAGGCTAAAACATGAAGTAATTTATTTTTGATTTTTTTCTTTGCTGTTTGAAATGATTTTTCTTAAATACATGACGTCACGTTAGTTAAAATTTTCCTATGCGCCTACTTTTTTAATTTTAATAAATACAAATTTTCGGAAGGGGTGCATGGTTAATCGTGAACATAGATTATCAAAATACGGTTAATTGAGATTCTACTATAAATTATTTTAAAATCGACCCGAATGAGCTTTATAGCCTTAAACTCCTATAACTGCTGGGATAGTAATAGGTATTCCCAGCACCTACAGGCCATTGTACTGAAACTATATACGTATATTAGCATGCGTGAACGTATACTCTATATACTAATATAAAAGATGCAAATGACGGGAGTAATAAATAATTTAAATTTAAAAACAACACATTTCTCGAGTCTTATAGCACAATGCTATAGTTGGTTTTGAGATGCCACATTTTTTAGTGCTCCATTATTATTTTATCAATTTTATACAATTCACGATTTTCAGTATTCTATTATGTTGCTTATCATTTACAATTGCAAATCGTAAATTTTGTTAATAATGTATATTATGTAAACGAAAAAAAATATTAATTGTGATTAATGTTTTTTTGTGATTATTTAAATAATTACTATAAATAAATATTTGATAAAATTTGATGATAAATTGACGTGCGATTAATTGCGACCACAATGAATTGACGTAAATCCGTTGAAGCATGACATTATAATTAGGTATACACTAATACACTGTATTGATACATGCGTGTAGTTGAAAAAAAACATAATAATAAATGTATTTGTATTAATTAAAAAAAAAAAAAAAAATGACTTAATATTGAGAATGGTTTCTAGTATACAATTTGTATTTTAAAGATAAAAATAAACAATTCGTGGACTAAGTATTCAAAATAATTTAGAAATTACTAACGAAACGTTATTATAGTTTTTGAAAAATATTTATTTTAATATTTTCAAAACATAAAAAAATGTTTAAATATTTTAGTTCTTTTGAGCTATTTATACGAATATAATTTAACTTGTTAATTTAGTACTGACTCAATATATGTTATGTTTATAGATCAAGTTTTAGTTTAATGGTTTTATATAATCATTTCAGAGTGATTTTATTTCGATATATAAAATATTTATTGGCGCAATCGATGCACATAATTTTGGCAGCAAAATATTTCATGCAAAATTTAATATAACGCGTTAAAATAATATACAATTTTTGAATTTCCGAATAATAAGATGTTAATCAAATAATTGTTGTATTTGTTTTCGTTTTAGGGTAGTATAGTAGCTGAAGGTTCTTTTCAAGAATTACAAGCCTCCGATTTAAAGTTTACAAAATCACTTGGATCTTCTGATAATGCAGGATTAAATGAACCAGAAAATGATATTAACAGCAGTTTAAACGTAGATTTGCTCGATTCTAATAAAAGTATTTCATCGTCCCATAATGATGTTAATATTAGTGGATTTCTAGATGTAAAATCAAAAAAATTAAATAAAAGTCGGTCGTCTGGTCGTGTTTCGATAAATGTTTATCTATCGTATTTATCTGCCAGCGGGAGCGTTATTAAAGTATTTTTTGTACTTTTTTGTTTTATTTTAATTCAAGTATTGACTACTGGTGGTGATTATTGGATTAGCTTTTGGTATTGTAACGATTAAAGAATGAAAATGTATAAATTATTATACTGATATAAATATATGTAAATATTTTAGGATCACTCATGAACACAAGAACTCAACAGGATATAATAATTTATCAAATGATAATGGTGCATTATCGTCTAGTAATTTAATCAGTTCATTATTGTTTACGTCAAGTTTTCGTCAAGTCTGTATGATCGTGTATATATTTATAATAATTTTTACGGTCGTAAGCATTATCATCAGGTGTGTGACATATGTATCGTTTTGTGCGAGAGCTTCAATAAATGTGCATGATCAAACGTTTGATAGTTTTATTAAAGCCACTATGTTTTTTTTCAATACTAATTCTTCTGGTAATTATTTAACATTACCTAATCTAACTATGGTGTATAAAATCGTTTTAAATATAATATGCACATTTGTTTAGGTGACATGTTGAACCGTTTTTCAAAGGATATAAAAATTATTGATGAGATATTGCCATACATCTTAATGGATTGTTTGCAAGTAAATATAAAATATTTAATTAATAAGAAAATACGATACCGACTGTATTTAGGAACTTAAATAAAGAAGTTCAATATAGGCAATACATGTATTGTGGATGTATGAACAAAGTATGCAAATATGCTAAAGTTTAAAAATCTCCAATAATTTCTCTATTAAATATTTATAAAAAATACTATATATATTATATTTCCAGTTTTTTTTCATAATCAATTATTTGATAAAAATATTTACATTTTTGACATCTAAGTCATTTTTTCTATCATAAGTGATGAGAAAAAACATGAACTAAGATCTTGCTTTTTTAAAAGTTCAAAGTCCATGTTAAAAATATAGCCCCATCATCCCTCCATTCTCACAACTATGATAAAATTATTTGTCTGTCATTAAAAGATAAGGATGTTTTCTAAAAAACAAAAAAAAAAAATGGTCGATATTGAATCTTTTTTAATACTTCAATCATATGCATACTATATAAATATGTAAATTGCATATTCTATAACGATAAAATACTATATTATACATAAAACATACTTCTAATTATTTGTTTTGAATATTTTTAATATCTAGCTATTAATGTTACTTTTGGGAGTCATATTTATTGTTGGATATTTTAATATTTATCTCATGGTACCGACATTTATTATGTTTGTAATATTCTATTATATTAGAATCTTCTATTTGCCTACATCAAAAAGTATCAAACGGTTAGAAGGAGATAGTAAGTACATTTTGTAAATCATTGATAATGAACACTATTTAAAATGTTAAAATGCAATTTTTATAAATAGCACTAAGTCCTGTACTTGCGCATATAAAAGAAACATTACAAGGTATATCAACAATAAGGGCATGCAAAGCAGAACAAATTTTAATCAATGAATTTGATAAACATCAAGTGAGTCAATATTAGTGATACCTATTAGTTAATATTATATTTAGTACAGTTTGTATATAAGTATACTTTATGTAATAAAATATGTACTTAGTACACTTTAGATTCATGGAGAAGCGATGATAGCGTATTGGTGTTACGATAATGTGCGTTCTATATTTATTACTATACATTTTATTTGTGTCTTGACACTTTTTATCGTAGAAAAATACTTTTGAACTTTTATTCAAGAGTGTCTTTTTTTGGGAAATTTGGACCAATTATTACCTCGAGAGGTTTTAGTTTAAACTAGTTGACCTAGTTATACTAGTTGACCTAGTTATACTAGTTGACCTAGTTATACTAGTTATACTAGTTATAGGTATTTAAAATATTTAAATTTTTTAATTATAAAAGTTAATAAAAATATTTATTTTATATAAAATAATGCTTAAAAATCTAAAACAAGGTCCTTTAAAAGTAGTTTATATGGCAAAAATATATGATGTTTTCATGAAGGTTTTGTGTTGATATTTTGAAAAGTTGAGTATTTTAACGAAAAATAACGATTTTAACAATTTTAGTTATTTTGCTGTAATTAAAAAAACATCATTCGTAGAAACTTGAAACTTTTCACCACCACCATGCTAATATTTACGATAACTATAGAATAAAATTGTTTAGATTAATTTTAAGTTATTTATATAGGGAATCTATTCACACTTTGCACAGTGTATCGGTATTGAATTGGCCATAAATTAATAACAATCAACAACTGTAATGTTTTATAATATATGATTTGGTTTTTGAAAAATATTGTTCAACTATCGTGTTACTGTAATATAATTTACTTATAGCCATATAAATATACAATAAAATATCTTTTAAAAAGTTAAGATGACATAAGTATCGCTTCTGCTCAAATACTTTTTTCCATCGCATAGTGTATACAAATATACAATGATTTATCACTGAATTGGAATAAAAACCTTAACACATAACTGTGAGCTATTCAATATAGACTAGCACTAAGCACTGCTAATCGGTTACTATACAGCAGAATAACTGCCTCTATTTTTTTTTTTATAAAATTTTTAGGATCTAAATTCGTCGGCTTATGAGCTGTACGTTTGTGCGAATCAAGCATTTGGTTTCTGGTTGGATTTAGTCTGCATTATTTATATATGTATTGTAGTATTCAGCTCCTTTACTGTTGAAAAGGGTAAGTTTGAAACGTGCGAATAAATACACTTAATTTATATCCATGTTATTTATAAAGATTGTTCTATATGTATTTAGATAATCATGGAGGAGATATTGGTCTAACTATTACTCAAATAATTACATTGACTGGAATAATTCAATGGGGAATAAGACAATTAACATTTTTAGAAAACCTAATGATTTCTGTCGAAAGAGTCCTTGAATACAAAGATTTACCCCAAGACGCTGATTTTCAATCTTCTTCTAGTAATAAAAATATTGTTGAATAATAATAAATCAATTTGTTCGTAAGTTATATTACTATAATATCAATATAATTGTTGATTAATGGTTTTACAGAAAAAATACCTCCCAAAGGATGGCCCTTTTTAGGAAAAATCGAATTTCGTAATTTTAGTCTTCGTTATAATCTAGATTCGCCATACGTTTTAAAAAATCTCAGTGTTCAAATTCAACCAACTGAAAAAGTAATTTTAGTCAATTTTTTACTCCATATAATGATTATGTAACGTTTATTTAGGTCGGAATCGTTGGTAGAACAGGTGCAGGTAAATCGTCCTTTATCGGGGCAATGTTTAGATTTGCTCTGAATGAAGGATCTATCTTAATAGATGATATAGAAATACATGATTTGGGATTACATGACCTGAGATCTAAGTTTTCTATCATCCCACAAGAACCAGTTTTGTTTACAGGAACAATGAGAACAAATTTAGATCCATTTGATGAATACCCTGACCTGGTTCTTTGGAATGCTTTAGATGAAGTAATTTCTTAGTTTATTCTACACTATTTATTTCTACGTTTTGTTTTTCAATTTACCCTACGAATGGTTTAATTTTATATGAACAACAACTGTTTTAATTATTATTTCAGGTAGAACTTAAAAGTGTCGTTGAAAGTTTGCCTGCTGGTTTAAATTCAAAAATCTCTGCTTTTGGTTCCAATTTCAGTGTCGGTCAAAGACAGTTGTTATGCTTAGCCAGGGCTATAGTTCGAAATAATAAAATTATAATATTGGATGAAGCTACTGCCAACGTTGATCCGCAGTAATAAATATTTCGATTAATTGCTGTTATTAATTATTTAGTCTTAAGTATAATTATTGTACTTATCCTTCGTCATTTTTTGCCTCGCAGAACCGATGCATTGATTCAAAATACAATTAGGAATAAATTCAAATCATGCACAGTATTAACAGTTGCTCACAGATTGAATACTATTATAGATTCTGAACGGGTACTTGTTATGGACGCGGGCACAGTAGTTGAATTTGATCATCCATATAATTTGTTGAAAAACGAGAATGGATTTTTGTACAAAATGGTAGAACAAACGGGAATGGTTACATCTGAACTATTACACAACATGGCCTCTAAGGTATTATAGAATTTGTTTTTTTTCAACTTTGCTTTTATTATTTTTATTTTATTTGTTTAGAGTTTTAATGTTCAAACAAAATGAAAATCTGGAATTAATTGCCAACAATGTATAGGTTCAGATATTTAATCTTAAATAAAAATATTTAATTTTGTTTTGTACATGTATATGACATATATATATATATATATTAATGTGTAACTATGGTAAATCGTTGATGATAGTACAAATTCTTATTTTATTAGATGAATTAAAATTGTTTTACAAATTTAATGTCGTTAATCCTTTTATTTTAATCATAGATTTTTTTTCATATCTTACTCTGGAAGGTCATTGATTACAAAATTATAATTATTATGTAAATTTAGTTTTATTTAATAATTGTATAAAAATAAATTATTGTATTAAATGTCTAACGTGTCGTCGCATCGTTGAATGTGTTTTCGTGGCGTTATTGATCCATAAACAATATTAATGTACTATACGGTGCAGTACTGAGTATACAGACATATTACACGTTATAACTTATAAGTTTTGGGATATTCGCTAATTTTTCGCTGTATTAAATTAATGTCGATTCACGTCAATTGTGCTGTTTTTTTTTTTCATCGATTTAGCAGGTAAAGATATAAATCGAATTTAATGTTTGTAGGCGATCGGGAACATTGGTCTGGCGGAAGACACGAGTCTCGCCAGCCTCCAGGCAGGCCGCCAAATGTGAGCTATATTTTAATTTTATAACTTAATATATTAAAATGTGTGTAATGTACTAATGTAATACGATAATGTTATTATCATAACTGTATCTGGTATAGGAAATGCGTTTCGTGGGAGGTGCTCGGACGACGATATCGGTCTACGAGCGTCTTCATTAAGAGCTTGCGATATAATTATTCGCCGGCGGCCCTGGCGTATAAACCACAAAAATAATATTAATATTATTATACATACACGTTGTACACAGTCAGGCACGTGTGTATTATTATTATTTTTAACGTACACGAAACAGAGTTTCGCTTGTTATTTATTATACTAGGTAGGTACAGCCTCCGGGGTAACGCGTGCGCCTATAGTGTACTAATCTATATTATAAAGTTATTAAGTGGACGTTGTACCGGACGTTGTTTACCGTCTCCATCTCCGGGGAAGGTCTACGGATTCGACCTGGGGCTACGTGTTTCCGTCACGATGAAACTTTGGTAATGAAATTAGTGTAAAATCGCATATTGTCAGATTGGGAGAGGAAAAACAAGCATTCATCTATCCCGTACTCAAACATAAAACACGAGTGGTCCTCGATAAAAGAATCACCTGGTATACTGCAATAGATTGCTGAGGTGATTATTTAAACAGTAAACACTTAGTATCTAAAAATGTGTTAATTTTTTTAAATATTATGTTATAGGATTTATATTTTTTTTAATCTATTTGTCGTGGTTTTAAGTTTTTTAAGTTTTTAATTTCATATTCCAAACCCGGATAGTTATTTAATAATCTTGATGTATAAGTTAAAAAACGAATATTAATCCGGTAAGTAGGTATAGCTAGGTAATTATGAGTTATAACTGTTGCCACATTTTTATTATTCTTTAGAATTTTTGCTAAGTCAGTAATAAATTCATTTTATACAAGTACGAGTTAAAAATTTAAATTTTTAATGCGATACATTTTTGGCTTTTTTTTAGTTTAATTTTGTTAACGTAAAATTATTTTTTTAATGATTTTTGAACAGTTCTATCTAGGGTATAAAAACTCAATACATATAGGTAATCAAATTATATATGAATTACATATAATATACGAAACATGATAAATATTATGTACTTGTTGTAATGATATTAAGATTGATTAATGATTACAATTCGTTTTTAATAATAATTTATTAAAATATTTTTCCTGTAGATTTTAAATATTTATTTAAAGTATAACTTTAGCTAAAAATTGAAAATAATAATAGTAATAATTAACAATCATAACTTTAGATTTAACCAAGTCAGACCAACTATCTATAGATATCATTTATGGATATTTGCTTTGTTTATAATAAAGTTTTATGTAAAAGAACTTCGAGGTGTTACCACGCAAATACATAACATAGAAAATAAAATTAATCGATGCGAGTTTTTTTTTTTTATCAATAAACGATTTCACTCGTCTCGAAGCATTTAAGACAATGATCATAATTCATATTATTATCGGATAGGACGTTAAAAGAATATAATTAATCGTTCTCGCGAGCGTTCTATACACATTAATATGCAATAATTGATACAATATGAGCCAATAAATTAGGATCGAACGATAAGAAAGCAAACTGTACGACATTATTGTGGATTGCGTCCGATATCGTTTCCGAAACGATAATAATAATTAATAATTCTATCTATGTAATCTCATACTTCCGTTACACGGTCCATCAGTGTATGTAAGTAAGTATATACTTTCCGTATTGCGTGCTTGTGGCGATTCGCAGTCGGAAAACCGATACGGATTACAAACCGCACGAGCGCGCACACGGAGTGTGCAGCATAAAATCATGATGAGTCGTAACGTGTATTTTTAAATGTAATTTTACCTAATACCTTTATACTTGGATATAATTTTGATACACATGTGTCTGCAGCCCGTTTACTCACTTTTAACTTTAAACTTTTGAAAAATTTTAAAATTTTAAACTTAAACAAGATGGTTAACTTGACAGTTTTAAGCCACGAAATAATATAAATAAGACATCAAGGAGCTTCTACTCGGCAAAAACAAACGAAATCTTAGTAGTACGCACGCACACAATGCAGACAAGATTAACTAAGTGCGCATTATTACGGCAACCCTGTCGGAGTTCAATAATAGTCAATGTGCGCATATGACTTGTTCAGTCGAAAAGTACATAAATAAAATAACATATTGTTTTTGACGAATAAACATGACCGCAATAATAACGTAGTTAAAAAGCGAAAAATACTATGTATATTATTATAGATTATTAATCGGAAAACAAGGATTTATTTTGATCTGGTTACAGAATATCGTTCTTTAACGTCTGTGTTAACACAACTTACACGACTGAAATCCTTATTTTTCGTTTAAAAATAAAACTTTGCAACAATTTGAATTTAAAACATTTATTAAAAAAACTGTATACATATAATATTTTTCTATACTATCAATATTTTTGAATATTATTGTAAGAAATATTTGTGAAGAACCTTATATTACATTTTAAAGTCTCATAGCCTCACGATTTATCACTTAAAATACTATTAAAAAAAAATTATTGCTCTAACGTGTTTTTTTTTTTTTTTTGATATTTAAAGTTGTTGTAAGGAAAACAACATATGAATTTAACCTTGTATTAAATGTATAAGTGCTTTTACCGTAAAAAAATAAAAAAGTGTTATAAATAAAAATTAAAAAAATATCAAATTAAAGAATATGGTTTAAAATTTCAATTTTTTATATTATACGGTACTAGTGTTTTCAACTGTGCGGACAATATAATTACTGATTATAGATAATCTCTAACCAGTCTAACCACAGAGCAGGCCGAAGAACTCATATTTTTTATCTATAAACTCTAAATAAAATATTAATTTGTGATTTTATTTCTTATGTAAATGTAAATTAAATCATTTATTAATATTATAATATAATATTCTGTTAAGGGGATTCCACAAGGATGTGAAGGATGTGATTTTTACCAAAATATACTTATATTTTGCACTGTATTAAATTGCCTATATTTAGCTCCTTAAAAACAATTGGTATCGAATCCCCTTAAATAATAATTTATATCATAACAATAGTTCAATATATTAATATTATTCATAATAATATAGGTAACTTAGGTATATATTTTAATCTTTTATTATAATAAATTACGTGGATACAAAGGAAAGGATTGCTCACAAGGAATTTAAATTCCCCTCCCCTTGTAACACCGACATTTATGCATAAAAAATGTGGTATAACCTAAATTATTGAAAATACCAAATAACAGCGTAACAAAAATATTGAAAATACTGATTCACCGAATATACCGGACATTGAAAATACCAGAATACCGATAATACCGATATTACCACACCAAAATATCAGTTTAATGATATTTTCGGTACACCGACTCACACCCATGGGCGTAGCTAGGATTTTAATCAGAGTGGGGCAATTAAAAATCTTTTTTTTTTTGCTTTTACGATTTTATAGTAAAACTTATATTTTTGGTATTTAAGAAATAAAATTTAGTTTAAAGCGCAGAGGGGGGGGGGCACCTTCGATATTACCGTGCTCACACCGAAATAAAATATACGTATTATACCGAAATATCGATGTAAACAAATAAATACCATCACCCATATAGACCATATTATAGTACATCGTACAATGACAGTAAAATAATTAAAACGTAAATACACGTCATCAGGTGGTCAGATTTAGTATCTGTATCTATTGCACTACGAAACGTCGAAGCATGTTGGTTTATCGTAGTAGAAGTAAAATATGTTACCCTGCACCCAATGCGGTCATGTTTTTGAACTTGGCTATTTCAATTTGAGAGTTCGTTATATCATGTAGGTATTGCATGATACGTCACCATCAATTTGTATTTTGTCTATAGACATCTTTATGTCGTAATTTAAAGCTTCGACAATATTTTGAGTTTGAAAACGCACAGATTCCATAGCTGCTCTCAATATATTATCATTAATAGTATATTCATTAACTCCAACTAGGACACTCGGAGCTTCATGTCTTCAATGCGGAGCATACAAATCTATATAATTTAATTTTAAAATTTCTACACCAAGAACGTAATTATAAATTCAATACGATAAAATTATCGCATATTCGATAAAACGAAGCAATGAAATATCTTATATTTATACAACGTTTCAGGAAGTGTAATATATAAGAATTAATTGAGAATTTTAAAAATGTTTCTATATCTAAATATAATAAATATATATACATATTTTTTTTGAATTACAATAAAAAAATAAAATTGATCTTGTTAAATACCGGTGAAGCGTAATATTTACGTTTTCTTTAATTATTTTTTAGTCGTTTATTTTGATAAAAGTATTGGAAAGTGGCAATCATCTATTTTTGACGCGCTCCAAAGTACCAACAAAACTCAATTATTTTATTACGAGAAACCACTGAGATTACATTAAAAATGTATGCTTCAAAACATAAAAACGGAAAAAAATGAATTAATAAAAAAACACATA